CTCTCACTTTTAGTTGACACTTAAGGTTTACGCAGTTTCTAGGTCCTACGAACTGAGAACTGTCCTGTAGGCCTGCAGACCCTGAAATACTGGAATGTCACTCTTTGGGATTCTCTCCTCATGGCCACCTTTACACATAGTTAGCACAGGCAGCTATTCCTCTGTTGTGGTTTGTAAGTTGCTAGAAAGAGCTTCCTATCTAAAAAATAGAAAAGGAAAAAAAATTCCTGGGTCTTTTTCATGGTATGTGGAGTGATGCTATCAGAGATGTTGCCCTTTGATGAGATGGTTTGACTAGCTCCAGGAGTTTATGAAACAGCAGATACTCCTGGAAGGGGGTCACTTTAAGTCAGAGACACAGAGTGTCAAAATTAGAAGCACCCTGAGTGATCCCCTAATGGAAACTGAAACTTCACGGGAGAAATGACCTTCCGAGACCACAGAGGAAGGTGATGACAGAGTAGAACCCAGATCTTCTCACTTCAAATCCATCACTTTTCCACCAGGCCATGGTTGATCATCATGTTCATAGGGGTTAGTTCAACAGATGGCTTTCCACGTAAGAAAGGAACAGTAGGCCAAGGCCAGGTTGGCTCTGATATAGGAGCTGGTGAAAGGAAGTCTGATCAAGAAGAGCACAGCTTGATAAGGGGCCATATGGGAAGTTCTGGGCAGTTAGGGCTATGGGCATTGGTGGTATGGAATATGGAACAGTAACTAGCTATGTGATCTTGGGCAAGTCACTTAACCTCTCTGAGCCTCACTTTCCTCATCTATGGTAATAACCACATGAACTGGAGGTGAGGCACTGTGAAAGATTCTTTACACATATTGTGATCTTCACAGCAACCCTACAGGGACCTTTCATTTTTACAAATGAGAAACATTTAGATTCAGAGAGGATGTTGTCTTAGTCAGCTCAGGGTGCCATAACAAAATACCATAGACCAGGTGATAACAAACATTTGTTTATTTGCTGTCAAATAACAAACATTTATTTCTCACAGTTCTGGAGGCGAGAAGTCCAAGGTCAGAGTGCCAGTATGGTTGAGTTCTGGTGAGAGCCCTGTTCCTCGTTTGTAAATGGCAGACTTCTTGATGTATCTTCAGAGGATGGAGAGAAAGATCATCTCTCTTTTGTCTCTTCTTATAAGGGCACCAAGCTCATTATGAAGGCTCCATCCACCCTCATGATCTAGTTACGTCTCAGAGGCCCGTCCTCCAAATATCATCACGGGGACTAGGGCTTCAACATAAAAACTTTGTGGGGACACAAACATTCAGTCTCTAACAGATGGTAATTTGCCCAAGAGTATGTAGCAGATAGTGGCTCAGCTTGGACTTGATCTCAGATTAGTCAGATTTCAAGGCCAAGGCTTTCCCTGGACCCATCAGAGCCTATTGAGTAAAAGGCAAGGCCAGTGACCTTCAAGACCTCTCCTGCTCTAAACTTTAGGACTGTGGTTATGCTGGATCTCTGAAAACCCTGATGAGGTCGGCTACTCGCTCTGAATATTGTATGTAGCCTTCAGACAATTCTAGCAAGCTGAGGTCTTGATGTCTGTTCTGTACAAAACTTAACACATGGTGGACCCTCAACAAATTTTAAAGAACAGGCCAGACAAGTGGCCCACCTGGTCTGCAGGGAATAATGGAGACTCCATCTCTGAGGGTCACTCCACTCCTACTCTGAACCAAGCTCTCGCTTAGAGCCGTAATGGCAGGAAGACATCATTCTTTTTCACACAATGAAATCGCCTGGTTTAATAACTAATAGATATGTTTGTGTGTTTGAGAAACTGAACATTGGCTTAAAGATTTAAAAGTAATTTAGTTTATCCTTCTAGGCAAATCATTCTCTAAAGATGATATCCATGTTGGATTATCCCAAATACTCGACCATTTACCACCAGGAGATCTCGGTTGTATCCAATTTAGAGATCTTTGGCTTCAGTTTAATCCTACATCCACATGCCATCCACACGTTTGAAAACAACACTTTTTATAAAAACATTCAGCTCAGAAATACATGCCTTTTTTTCTGGCATTTTTCTTTGTGGCAATTATTTCTGAATTCCAGAAGGTGATGCTGGGTCTGTCTTTTTTGGTTCACATCTGTCACTTACTGACCTATGTAATCATCATCCTGCCTTCCTGTTTTTTGCTTTAGATTTCGAGTTTCCCCTAAATAACTGCTCCCGAAACTCTCAAAGTTACCTAATTAGTGATTACACTTTGCAAATGCAGAAGAGCATTTCCCAGCTAGTTGACTCGGTTAGTTAAAGCAGGATGCTAATAATTAGGCCACGGCCACAGATGTGGGCTGTGTGTGGGCCAGTTAGTGTGGCCAGGGTCCCAAGAAGGACCAGGTGAGCATGTGGACGGCACAACAGAGAGCCATCCCCGCTGGAAGGAAACAGCGTGGCTACTGAGTCAGTAACGTCATGCTGGAAGGACAACACATCTTGACAAAAAAGAAGAGAAGGAAGGAGAGAAGAAAGAGAGAAGGAGGGAAGGAGGGAAGGAGGGAAGGCAGGCAGGCAGGCAACAAATAATTGTAGTAGATAAGTTCATGGAGGTAAAGAGTAAAGGAGGAATAACAGAAGAAACCAGGACCGGAAGCATGGCGTGACCTTTAATCAGGGCTCTTCTTCCCGGCAGGCTGTGAAGCAGCTTTGTCTTTACCTGCTCAATGGATCTCACAGTGCTGATGCACTGCTTTAATTTGGGAAGCCTTTCTCTTGAGAGACATGTCTTTTCTTGCTCCAAGTGTAAAGTGCTCCCAAGAGTGGCATTCCCCGTGACAGATGTACTACAGTTATGCTTTAGCTGACTCCAAACCCATAGCTTCCCCGTGCCTGAGTGGTCTATTTGATGTCCAAGAGTGTGTTTCCTTTGAGAGCAGATCTTTACTGGAATATCATCCAAGAAGGTAGGGAGGTACAATCCCTTTGTTCTAAAACAACCACTGTTTAAATTCTGCAACCCCACTCCCACCCCACGGCTATTCTTTCCAAAGGTCTTAAATCCATTTGCTGGTGTTTGCAAATGCCCTAGACCTACCCATGGAAAGACACTGTCCCAGAGAGACTTAAGAGCCCTCTCCTTTCTAAAGGTCTCCTAAGGTTGTTCTATTTTCATAGATGGTCCCAATTCCACATGACTTTCTGTAAAGATAAGGAATTTCAAAAGTAGTTTAACATTACCAAGGAAACTCGATTTTCTGGCAAGTCTTCCATCCGTGGCTGTGCTTCTTAGAGGAGTCTCAGGCTCTTGTTGACAGGATCAAGCATGCGACTGGCAGGGCCAGCCAGCTCCATACACGGCCATCTGCGATTATTTTGCGTGTCTGTTTTTCACTGATGAAGTACTGTCGTTCTTCTCTGAATTCTAAACTTCCCACCATCAGAGCCCAGTCTTGAAGGAAGACGTAGCCACAGGCCATTTCTGTTGGAACATGTGCCACTTGTCTTCTCCCAGGACGTGCAGCTCCTCCTGCCCACACCAATGTCTGCTAAAGGAGGCATTACTTCTCTAACTCTCTTTTGCCCGTCCAAGAAGTAGGAATTTTTTTCCATCTACCAGTTTGTATTCTCTCTTGGCGCTTTGATTAGATCAGAAAGGGCTAAAGTCTTGGCGAGAAGCCTTTTCTATCATTCTTATGCCTATCATAATTCTTAAAAGTATACAAAGCCTGCTGCTGTTTAAGGTCTGCTTCTGACGTTCAAGGAAATTCCCCCTTTTGGACTTACTTCTTGCTTTTCAGCATTTTTACTTGCAATGCCAGTGGAATTAATTATTCCACTACCTGAAACCTACGAAAGGAAAGAATTTGAAGGTTTTTTTTTTTAATTTCTTGCGCTAGCTTATTGTGCTTTTACTGTATATCTCTTGGCTTGCTTTTCTCTTAGATAGCTTTCTGCCTTGAATTTGTTAATTAATATCAGTTAATATTTGCTTAGTAAAGACAAAGCATGAACAATCTAACATAGTAATATTCAACACAGGGCTGTGACATCATAGTTATTGATAAATTAACTGGGTCTTTTTTTTTACCATGGGGCAGAGTGCCTATTTTTCTAGTGCAACAGGTTTCAATAATGAAATGTAGTGGCTTCACAGTGGGCATAGACACAACAAAATTTCCTTTTCTTTTTTTCTTTATAAAGGGGTGTGTGTCACATCGATTGCTGTTGTCATCCAAACCTCTTCTGACTTTATTTTTAAAATAGCGTTTATTCAGTTTTTTTCAAACAGAAAAGTATAAAGGAAAAAACTGCCCATCATCCCATTCTTACAGAACCCCTCTTGACACTTAAAAATAAAAGTAGTATATTTTCATGATTTAAAAATTCAATCAGTACAGATAGGAACAAAATGAAAAGTGGTTGCTTCCTTGGTATTTGTTGTGAGATTTCAGATTTTTGTCTACTGGGGACAGCTCCAGATATGTCCCTAAGAAGACACCAGATTTAAGAATAAAAGAACGTATGTCAAGAGAAACCCAGAAAGTGGCAAGGATGGTAGCACACAACACAGTGCTCCTTGTGAAACTCACTCCTAGATATTAAGAGAAGGGGGCAGAAGAGTCTCAAATGCTGGAAGTGATGACCTGTTAGAAAGTCTGAGTAGACAGGACAGTGGTGATGAGGCGACTGGAAGTTACCAGAAAGACTGCACAGAAAGCCTGCACCCTGTTTTTCAGGATTGGTGGGTAACTTATGAGCGAGCAGTGACATGATTCCGCCCATGCAGGTGCAAAAAGTAAATCACAGAGATTATGGGGGCAGCTGACCTCTAACGTATTCTTCTGCTAATGAGTTTTAGGATATATAGTGGCCAAACTTTCGTATTTTGACATGTATGCATTAAATCAAAACTACCATCCATATCTTCCCACCATTGAGTAATAAATGATAATGTGATAGTGTGTTTCTTGACCACTCCTTTAAAGCGGATCACAATTATATTTCATCTCTGGCGACACCTTCCTTCCGCAGGCCATGAAAGCCACAATATCTTCTAGGGCTCTGAAGTCACCGTGGGATTATGACTTTTTCATTTATAACGGCGTCATAGACAAGACAGCCCCGGACTTCTTAGCATTCAAGGAATATTTTAGTTTCTCTTGGGGAAGTATTTTTTCTCTCTTGGAGCACATCGAGCAGTTTCTCAGGGACTATGCAATCCCGGAAGTCAAGATAAAAGGCGATAGTTTGGTAGCTCTCCTTCCCGACTTTGAGCTGAAGAATAGACTCAGCAGAAGTGACCTTCTCTCAGTGTTAGAGGACCCAGCTCACGTCCAAAAGTTGTTAAACCTTCCGGGGCAAAGGTACAAGGGCCAAGACGGAAAGGTAAAGGCTGTTGCCAAGATCCAAGCCACGTGGAAATGCTACAAAGCAAGAAAATTCTTCCTCACTTATCGCCAGCAGAAGTGGGCGTCAGGGGTGATCGCCATTGCCTGGCTCCTACACTGCCATAAGTCCCGAGTGAAGAAGATCCTGAAGGAGTCTCGGGAAAGACACCTGGAGAATTTCCGCATCCGAGCCAAGGTACACAAGGCTGCCAGCTGTTAAGGCAGACCTCTTTTTCTAAACATTTCCTGCTTGAGCAATCGCAATAAGTTGTCTCTTTATCTTCCCTTCCTCTCTCCAGCTACCCTCCCCCTCAGCCTCCACTCATCTCAACACATGATGCGCAAACCCTACACTTTTTTATATGTCATATTTTAGCCCTAATCAGCAATCCAGCTTTTGCGCCCACAAAATCTGCTGCAATTTTTCTATAGAAAAAAAAGTCCCTTCACTTTGACTATGGTAGTTCCGTCAGAAAATCAATGTTTTAACTGCTTTACCTTTTCTCCCTATATATACCTTCTGGCACTTTAATTTGCTAGGGGAAAAAAAAATCCTCTCTTGTCTACATTGCTGTCACCACTTTGTCAGAAAGTATTTAAGTTTGCAGACAGCCTTTTAATTAGTGCTCACAATTTCATTTATGTTTGCTTTCTCTTTTTTTCATTCATATTCTGTTAATTAAGTGAGCCGCCTCTAATCTTCCGCTGCCAGTAGCATCATGTAGCCACCTAATTAAATTAATTGGGGAAGATGTTTTAAGTATGTAATTAAATCAATTAATATAATTTATGCCTGGCTTAACTGTACAGTGGAAAAACAGCTGAAGTTCGACTAGATGAAGCCACTGCAGCTTCCTGTCACTGATCAATGCTCTTCTTGATTTTTAGCATCTGGCAGCCAACTGGAATCGCATCAGGACCTCCAGGAGGACTATTATCCATATCCCATCATTAGGTATAACACTTTTGCCTGCAAATCTATCAGCAACCTCTATTACCCACCACATTATGGCTCCTTGATTGAGTTCAAGGAAGGCCCCTTGTTTTATTCAAATTGGTCTCGGCAGGAAAATGTTCTCGACATGATGAGAGTAATAACACAGGGCCCTCGCTCGAAACGGCGTTTAATTTGGGGATTAAGCAAATAAAGTCATTATGTGGGGGCCGCTATTCAGTGGAGAGGTGATTTGCTGTAATTCGCTTTCATCTGTATGAAATGAACTAAAAAGTTGTATTTTTTCCCCCTGAAATAACAGATAATGTTTTCGATCTTCTTTAATGATGGAAGAACACAGGCTTGCATGTGTTGTGGCTGTTACGCCAATAAGCCAGGATATTGCTTGTACACTGTTTTTAATCAAATGTGCAGTCAAAATGATAAGCTACATTCTCTGAAATTATTTAGTTCTAATTACGAGCAGATGGGGTGCTTTATTTGCACCTAGGGCGCCTGAGCAAAAGGAAATGCTGTGTGAACAAGAATAATTAAGAAGTTGAATAGTGTTTTTTGCGCTTAAATAATCTGCAGTTTCATGTTAATTAGCACGAATGTAATTATTTAATTACATTTATGAATTGGGGAGCTTAAAAGCTGTTGTCTGCAACGCAGTGGTAAAATAGGTATGCCAAAGCCACATTGGGAATTTCAGAAATTTGCATTGGACGTTCTTTTCAAACATGAGCCGCTGTCAAAATATTTAGGATTTGTTTGCTTGCTTATTTTGTTTTGTTTTGCATCTTATCAACCTAACGTGTTAAGTTTTCTTGGTGAGGCCAAATTCCCCAAGCTGACTTGGTAGCGTTTTGACAAACAGCAAGACTCATTGAATCTTCATGTTACTTATTAGCTCTTTGTTAAGGCCTTTTAAGTAGAGCAATGCGTTAAGGAACCTATCGTAATAGAATTCTGGATGGCAGCTTATTTGTGTTCCTATGTGAGTATACGTGCTTGTGTACTTATGGGTAGTGTAGAACATAACACATTTAAACCGTAATATGAAAAGCAAAAGAAAAATTGAAATTATTATATAAATATAATTAAGATTATATTTTAAATTAGTAAAATATTAGTAGCAATAAAGTAATGCAAACTTTCCTAGATTCTAGAGTGCTTACTCTAGCAAATTTGAGAAAATAGAAAAAAGTTGTAGAAAAGTTGAGAAAATACCTCAGTTGCACAGAGCCTTTTAGTTTTGGGGGGTTTTATGGCTCACAGATGAAATTAGTTCTTTCTTAGGATGTAAGCGAGGGAAGGCACATCTGAACTTCATTCTGACTTAAGCTTTTGTTTTGGTGGCACTCTTTTTGCACACAAAATTAGTTCACATGCAGAAATTGCACTTGTAATTGATTACAACCAGAGAGGCTAATTTCAGACCCAATGAATGGACCCGAGGCTTTAGAATAAGGTGCGAGAGGCTTTGCTTCCACAGCTAATTGTGGGCCTGACCCGATATTATGTGGGAAATTTTGTTTGCGTTCTTTATTTTATTCAAAACTAGAAATAGAAACAGGATCCCCACTTGGCAATGCTGACAAGCACAAAAGTATTATAAACACAATTTCCACAAACTTCTTCCCTCCTGTTCCCCCACCTCTGACCCTTCAAATCCCCCGTGCAATCAGCCCCATGGAGAAGTCTGATAGAAAGGAACCTCCGAAGAGGAAAAATCACGAAGGTCATGGTCATGAATAGAAACTGGGCAATAAAAAATAAATCTAAATGAAAGTGTCTGGAGGTTCCCAAAGGGCTTGCGGAATATAAATTAAGTAGAAAAATAACCAGTCAGAAGCTAGAATTAGAAAGCATTATTTTAAAACTAGTTTTCTTCTAGATTACGTAAAATCAGTTTAAATAAATACGTAATAAATCTGAAAGTCTTCCCTATTGCAGTAATTTTTGTTTGTTCACAACATAACCCACTTTAAAGAAAAATTGCTAATCATGTACTTTCTAAGAGATAAGAAGAGGCTCAGCTATTTTTCTCAACTGAACCTTTAAAATTCCCAGTTATGCATTTCGCTAGAGAATACTACTTGGGCTTTGATCAAATAGTATTTGTTTCAAATAAATCTATGCTTTAAGTTTTATGAGATGACTTGTGGACATTAAATTAAGTTTAAATAATGTTAAACTGTTGTCTCATACCTATTCCACAGACATAATTGTCAAACCATACTTTAAAAAAAAAATGATGATGATGTACCTTTTCCTGTGACCCGCTTTCCCTGGGAATACTTGAAGAAGACTTCAGCAACGCTGGCTACACCGCTACTTTGTACCCCCTGCAGGGACTTACCTACACAATTCATGAAAACAGAAGTCAGTGAAAGTGGAGCAAATTTTTTCTCTAAATACAGCCCCTGACCCGAGTCTATTCAAGATAATAATTTTGTTTCCAGAGTTGAGAGCAATTCACTAATCAGAATGGTTGGTAGGAGTGTGAGGCTCAGGAAGGCATCTAATACAAGTTGCAGCCTTCTCGTCTTTTTCTCTTTCTGGAGGAAATTTGCGATCAATTCCAGTGTAGAATTAGTCCCAGAAAGAATTACACCGTGCAGCTAGCCAACTGGGGCTGCACTAACTTGTTTGAACCCTAAAAATGAAAGGTTAGTATCTGATGACTATATTGCAGTTGTAGGCATTTGGTTATTTGCTTTTGCAATTTTGTACCCACAGGAATAATCACATTCTCCAAACCCACCAGCACAGAAAGGATGGCCTTTCAGTAACATTTTTGACCACAAAATATTTATCATGTGTTTAAAAATCTATGGCTTGGTAATGTGAACATTAAGATGATCACATGTTGCAGAGTCACTGTTTTGAAAGGAGGAGTTCTGAAACACGATTGACTGCTACACATTTGGGGAAGTATTTCCAGAGGTGAGAAGAAGTTTCAGCAGCTATTTTTAACCAACAGGAGAGGTTGGATGCTGTTGATTAATTGTCCAAAGAAACGGATTGGCCTTGTCATTTTATAAGATGATAAGAAGAAAGCCATCCTTTCCAGATTGTATAGGCTGAGCTCTTAATGGGATATTGCATATTTTATCATTTTTATTAATTAAATATAACAAAATACTCTGCTATGTTTCATAGCAAAAATAGAATACTAGAGTCTATTTTAGGCAAAATCTATCAGTCAAATAAGAAAGAGCTGCAACAAAGAAACCTAAATCCTCTAGAAAAATCAGAGGTCTAAATAAAACCTACAACTAATTCTGCTTCTAGTTTCTTTGGCTAAGTTATTTCCTCCACTTTTAAATTAAACCCTGTGCTTCATTATTACAGGGCATCATTTGGTGCCACACAAACTCAGTGGCATTTTGTTGTTGTTGAGGAAGATTCGCCCTGAGCTAACATCCATTGCCAATCTTCCTGGTTTATTTATGTATTTATTTTTGCTTGAGGAAGACTAGCCCTGTGCCAATCTTCCTCTATTTTGTGTGTGGGACGCCTCCAAAGCATGGCTGGTGAGTGGAATAGGTCCGTGCCCTGGATCCGAACCTGTGAACCCAGGCCACTGAAGCAGAGTGTGCAGAAGTTGAACCACTCAGCCACGGGGACAAGCCCGCTCAGTGGCATTTTTAAGTATATTGACATTAAATGAAATGCGCCAAGTATGGGGCTCTGATGCTGTGAGCAGGTAGATGAGGCCGCTGCCAGCCGATTAACCCCTAGTGATGAGCTTCCCCCTCACTTCTCTTCCTCCTTTAAAATACAAATAGGGGATGTAGTGAGGTGGGCTTTTCTCTTTTCTCTCTGTAAGCTTTATTTTATTGCCAAATTGATTTAACGGCTACGAGAAATGTGTATAGTTCAGCTTCATTTTTTTTCCTCTCTGTGCATTATTTCAGCAAATTATCCTTGAAGCTAACACGATTAGTGGTCTCCAAGATACTCCATTCCATAAAATGGTGGATCCTGTTATTGTGAGGTTCATGAAAAACAGTGTTTCCCGCCGGTCTGTACTGCCACAAAAGCCTAAAAGAAAGGATAGGAAAACTCACTTTTGTGCACAACTGACCATGCACTGAGCTGAGAAAGCCCCCGTGCCCATTAGACAGTTGCTCCCTAACACCGTGCTCTTCCGCCAGAGGATCAGAACTTGCGCTCACCTCCGTTCGTGAACAGGGGCAGGGTAGAGGACCACGGCCCAGAGTGTAACATCGGAAATCCCATTCTCACTGTGCCTCCAAGCAGCTTGGCACCTGTCTACGTTCTCGTTTCTGAGCTGACAACTCACAGACAAGATAGACTCTGTTCCTTCCACCTCAGGGCTGGGACCTGAGGACTTTCGATCAAATCTTCACGGTCTTCCACATGTATTTTGGCAAGTAGTATGGAATCCATAGTTTAGCGGTGGTGTTGCCACACCAGATGCTTGAGACAGATGTACTGCCAAGATCTCCCAGACAGCATTCCCAAACACAGCCAGATCTTTGGGATCAGGAACAAAGTATACTTAACTGTTCACATTTCTTGATAATCCAAGTTAAAATTAAAACATATTTGTATTCATCCAATAATCCAAATCAACGCTCATTCACTGGTTACATCAGAGTTGGCCCCAGGACCTTGTAATATTAAATTCCCCAGTTGGGGTTTGAGCCAAGTGATATTGAACCTTGAAATGCAGAAACGGCATTTCAAGTGATGCCAGTCATGGGCCTTTCATAAAAAGAGTCTTGTATATGCTAAGCTATAACTATAATCTTTGTCATCTCCTTCATTCTTGTAAAAAAAAAAAATTAAAACGCTTGTTCAGCAGTTCTCAGACCTACACTTGTAATGATTTTTGAGGGCCCTAAAGAGTGTTGGTTTAAGTGGTTATATCCATCAATGTTTACCACACTAGAAACTAACACTGAGAAACTTTTTTAAATATTTATTTCAAAATAATAATAAACCTATTACCAAGGTTAACCTAAATAACATAGCTTTATTTTTTT